AAGGGGAAAACAAGTGTGAAGGTCCCAGGTTGATCCTACAGCACTTTAGTTCAGTAACCCCACTTTTCTGTTAAGAAGTGCCACTTACATATAGCCAAAGGAGAGCAACACAGATGGAAGCTGACCACTGTACTACCAACTTCTGGAAAGGGAGTTGATTTTCATTTAAAAAAAAAAAAAAACAAAACAACCTGATGAAAAAACACATGAGAAGTTCTACCTGAATTCACGCACTGCTCCAGGGCAGCTGCATCGCCTCTGCTCCCTGAAGCTGGCCCATGCCCTCTCCTGAGCCCATTTTGACCACTCCATCACACCATGGTGCACACACACCACAGTTCAGAATCCAGCAGCATAAAGCTACAGGTGGCAGTAGTATGATATGGTTAAGCTGTATTACTGCTAATTTGTTGTTACTGTGTGCAGTTACCATGTCACTAGTAAGAGCTGTGGATGGGGGCCTAGAGAGCACTCACTGTTCAAGTATGAGCCCTCTGCAGAGGTGTGTTAGTCCTCTTGAGGCCAGTGCCTGCAGTAGATGTTGAAGGCATTACTCTCGGCAGCACAGCAGCCTCTAAAAATACTTCAGTGTGCATGCAAGCCTCTTTTCACACTTACATACATACTTCTGGCGTGCAGAATTCAAACCTTTTGCTTTTTTGGTTGGTTTGTTTGTTGGTTGGTTGTTGTTGGGTTGTTTGTTTGGTTTTTTTCTCTGCCCGTTCCTGAGGGACTGTATATAGCATTGAAAAAACATAACCTGCTTTGGTTCTACCACCTCAAGCCCACAGGGTAAGAAACCCCAGAATCAGCTTCTGCCTCTGTCCAGGCTGCACACTGAGCCCAGCTGCAGCAGAGGGATGGGACAGGACAAGCGAGTCATGCTAAGGGCCAAGGCAAAAACCCCTCATCTACTTAGCCATCAATTAAGAATGGTTCATTCTAGTCAAGACAATAAGTAAAAACAGGGAATGATGTTTGGCTCAGATTATTACAAAAAAACCCTGATGCTACAGAGAATGTTATTAAATGCTTTTATTGATGGAAATGTTTTTGCGGTTGAGCATACGGAAGACTGGAATTTCCTACCTCACTCTACTGAAGCTATAAATTAGCTTTCCCCTACCCTCCTACTGAGGGAAAATGTCCCGCTGCAACTGGAGAGCAGTAGGCAAACTCGGGCTCATGGATGGACCTTGTGGTGGGAGGAAGGACTCCAGATCCAAGGGGGGGACACAGCAGGGCTACAGAGGGGACTGTACTTCCTTCTGCTTGTGAGGTACCTGGCTGGGCTGGGAGGAGCAGCCGGCGTTGCAAAGGAAGGGATGGGGCAGGCGATGGGAACGAAGCACAGGGAGTTAGGGAGATGAACATGAACACACAGTGACATAGAGCAAGGAAAGCCCAGCTGCAGCATGGACAGCCCTTGGTAGTGACCACTGCTGAGGAGTTTGGGGCAGCATGAATCTTAATTGCTTGGTTTTCCCCTCACCAGCACAGAAAGAACAAGGTACAAATTCTTACACAACTTCTGAACCCAGTCGGCTTTATGAAACATGGCACACTGCCTTTCTGCCTGCCAGAAAATGCTGCCTGCTCTCTCCTCCCGTGTTCCTTGAGATAAGGCTCTGCCCACCCCTGCCTTACCTCTCCCTAGCATTTGGCCTCCCACCCTTCCCTCTGCTTCCAGCACTGGTGGCTGCTTTCTCTGCCACAGCTCTTTAGTAAATACAGTGAGGGTCAGCAAAACCTTTAAGCATCTGGCAAGATTTGTGCCTGCAAGGGACTTTCAGCCTAAATTCTTGGTGCAGTGCATTTGATGAATGAGCATCACAAATAGCTACAGCAAAGCGTTAGCCAGAAAGCAGCAAATTCCTGAGACTGCATGGCCCTATATCTTACAAGATCTTAGCCGTTCGTGAAGCCTGAGGGTGCAGAGCCGCGGTCAGGAAGTGTGCTCACAGCGCAGATCTGTGTCACCTGCGAGCGGCAGCTGATGGCTCGCTCAACCTCCCACCACCGGCACCACCTTTCTGCTCCTTCCCCTGCCCCAGACCCTGAGCTGGTGGAAAGTGATACGTTTTCTTGGGTGGCCAAGCTGTGATGGCGTGGGTGAGTAGCAGTGTGGGTGGCGGTGTAGTCTCAGCACGTGATAGATACCAGGCAGCTCATTCCCCAGGCAAGCAGGGTGAGGTGCCTTCTTGTGTTGTAGGGCAGGACTGCGTCAAATGTCCCACAGACAACTGTCCTAGCATCTAAGGCAAATAGACCATTGTGGTCATCTAGTTTATGCAGTACACATAAATTAGAGGATCAGTGAAAGAGCTGCTGGAGCTGTGTGCAAGAGGAGGTGAAACGCCAAAGATGAAGACCATAATGCGCTGGACTTGTGATAGACCTGGCTCCCTTCAGAGCTCTTAGCTCTCCTTCCCCACTTGCCATATTGCAGATAACAGATCAAAATAAATAAAACAGGATGTACTGAACTGCAACACATTGTACTTCTCGTGGGGCAGCAGCACAGGAAACATACATTACACAGTAAGACCACTGATGTTTTTTCTGACCAACCAACTGAAACAACTACTTAATTATACTCCAGGCAGGCTGGAAACACCAAATGGACATCTGTCAGCTTGTTTTGTCTAGCCCTTTTAGGAACAAGTCTCTGAGGTTTTTGGAGACCATTTTTAAGAGGCTTTTCCTCTGCACTCCCTTCCAAATTGCCCAGTTGCTTTTGTTGGATTCAAGTGCAGTCGGGCATCACAAAAGCAGGGATATGTTTAACTTCCAGTCCACTTTCTGGGTAATGCCTGGTTTGTGAGTGGTAATTCTAGTTGTTTGTGCTGGTACGGGACTGTGATTGCTTTCTGTCAGCAAAGTCCCATCTGCTGGGCAATGCACTGGCTGTGACACACCCTGACATTGCTCTGCAGTGTGAGATTATGAGGAGCTGCTGTTGCTGAAATTATGTGGTTAAAAGGAGCACAGTAGCTGATGAGAGCTGCAGGACAACTGCACAAAGCTCCCTGAGAAGGCTGGACCCTGTCTTTCAGCAGAATCTGGAAAGGTATCACCAAAACCCAGCCTGCTGTGAAAGAGCGTGTGACTGGCACAGCATTGCTTCCTAAAACCTCAGAGAAGTGCGTGTGGTTAATCCCTGGGACTTCAAAGGAATAAGATGAAGGAGGATTTGATGCTAACAAAATTGAAGGGGTTTATAGGAAATAAATGGCTTTGTGTCTCATGGAAGGGGTAGAAGTCCCAGCGGCAGAACAAATGATAGAGGAGGTTGTGGAGACAAAGGAAGCCAAGTCTGGAAGAAAGAAGACAAGAATGAAAGAAAATACATGGTGGAAATGGAGTGCAATAAGGCCTGCTAAGTCTTGGCAATACTCTTGATAGTTAATTGGTATTTACCAGGGCTGCTTTATGGTCTTGGGTTTATTGATATTAAAAACCCTACTCCCCCCATGGAGCTATGGCCCAAGATGTTGTCTGGCAACAGGAGATGGTGCTGGCAGTGAATCCAGAGGTGCTGGTTGGACTGCAAGAAAATACAAATACAGAAACCAAATACAGCAGCAAAGTTCTGCAAGAGCAATGTCAGACCACACTGTAATAGTTCACCTCTCTTTCCTCAAGTCCAAGTATACAAAGACAAGGTACCCAGCTGGTTATGCAAGAATAAGGTTTGAGGAGCCTTGGTACCTCTCTGACAGTGCACTGTGGCAAACCTTACCCTGTCCCCAGTGGCATCAGCAGCTTCCCTGTTTTAGGCTAAATTTACTGATGAAGGTAGCAGTGGAGCAGTAGTGAGGGTTGGCACCATGGTGCTGTGCAAAGGGGCTGGCACCTGCCCTGGGGATGGCTGCTGCCAGCCAAGTCATGGTGATATGGGGGGCAAGAAGGAGCTGGAGGATGTAGGACACAAAGGGTTGGGCTGAGGATCTGTGGGAGGGCGAGGAAGTTGCCGAAGTCTTGCTGTGTCTCTCAATGATGACCCATGACAGGTACAACACGTCCGCTGAAGTTCATGCTCTCTCCTGCTGCCACTCGCCTACGTTTGAAAAACAGAAGATTTTTCAGTGTTTTGGGGGTTCTTAAATCTCACCGATTTCCGTCACGTTGTGACAAAGCTGAGCTGGGAGACAGCTAGTGTTTAATCCCTACAGAAAACTAATCAAAACAGGAAACCAGTTTGCCTCCGAAGGGCGAACCCATGTGCCGCAGGCCAGCCTCCGCCTTGCCCCGCTCCTGCCAGAGCTAAGTGCTGCTCGCCGAGCCTTCAGTAGGAAATAGTGTACGCCGAGGTACCTGGATGTCTCTTCTTGCATTACCCTTTCTAACTGCCCATACTCTTACCTAACACTCTGGTATATGATGAATAATAACGCAGCAGAGGCTGCCAGAAAAATAGTTTTGTCGGCAAGTTTTCGAGGACATTATTTGTTTCAAAATTTCCTGTTATTTTTTCTTTAGCTAAAAACCCAGTCAGGAAAAAAAAAACCCAAAACCAACAGAGAGGTGTTTTGCTTCTTGGAAAATAGATGCAGTAAAAATGTTATGTTTTAGACACAATTTACACTGTCAGTACCCAACTATTTTTAATAAAATATTTGTTGTTTCATAGCTTTTCAGTATGAAACAGGAATGTTACTAAACTGAACGCTTCATGAAAATAGTTCTTTTTGGTTAAAGGAGCATTTTATTTTTTTGGAAGAAAAAAAATCAAAACTGAATTTCAACTGAAGTTTTTGACTTGTTCTCTAAGAATCCCTGTGCTGAGTTGAAATATGTATGTGTATGTGCAATCCATACAGAGGTGACATATAGGAAAATGATTCTTTGTACTTTTAAACATCTTAAATAATCAGTTAATTTGCTTCTGATCCATTAAAATTAAATCTCCCATGGACATGACAGTCTTGTCTAATTATTCACTTCATCCATACTCATTAGCATTAACCAGTATTAAATAGCTTTTCTCTGTCTTTTAGAAAAAAAGGACTTTGAAGGGTTCTGTGGAACTTTCCAGGATTAAATGTGTGGAAATTGTGAAAAGTGACATCATCATTCCCTGTCAGTATAAATATCCTTTCCAGGTGAGTCTGTCTGCTGACCATACTGGTAGAGATATCACTTCATTTTGTATTTCACTAAAATTTTCCCTCACAGTGCAGTGGTTAATGAACCCAACACCAGGGTGAATAAGGGCAAAGGAAGAAAAAGCAGATTGAGGTTCGAAATGAGCCCTGGCATCAGAAACTGTGTTCCTACAAGAGCCATGAACTCTTACACTCATTGGTTTTAGATTGGAAAGGATCACTAGATTTTCTAATCCTAGCCCACGTTCAACACAATATGCAGCTATCCCATGTTACTCATGTTCAGAGAAAGCCCGTCTTTCACACAGGGAATCCACCTGGGATTTTGGCCAATTTCCCTGTGTGGTGCTGAAACGAAACACGTTCAGTGGCCTTTGCATCAGAAACTGGTGAATGTGATGCGCTAGGGAGACTGTGCCAGACCAGAACAGAGAGGGCTTTTAGTGGTGAGATGGCTTAATGACCAAGAGATGGACAGTGCTAGCTCTAGGATGAGGAACACAGTGTCTAGTGTTAATAATTAATAGACATGAGATACACTTATGTTGCCATATAAACAAAAATGCCACAGAATATTTGCTCAGTTATTGCAACCTGAATTCCCAGTTTATTATGTTATCCCCTGTGCTGCCATTTATCAGAATTTTGTCATATCAGTGACAGTATTTTTCTTAATAATTACGGTACATGGATTTCAGTGAGCACGGGGCCATCTCTGTTCACAGATGGCTTTAGAAGAGTGAATTATCAAGGCTCAGATTTGCAGATAAAAACTAATGGTTGTGACCCATTGTGCTGGTCAACACACAATAAATGTTAAAAAACATAGATAACTTCATCAAAATAAAAAAGACAACCATAAAGCAAAGGTTTGGTGGGTGTTTTTTTTTTTTTCTTTTGACGTTGTTATCTCAAAACCAGCAAAAAAAAGGAGCTTGTAGATTTTTCTGAAAATCTTCATTTGAACAGTAAAATATGCATCCATCATGCTCATCTGAGCCCTAGAAAATGTCACCTTGCAGATATATGAGAAGGTTGAGGAAATAATGACAGGTAACCCTCCCTCCAGCTTGGGGTGGTCCCCAGTCAGGATCATAAAAATTATCCTGGAATATTACAGAATGTTGCTAAAATGGTACATAATGAACACTCAGGAAGCCAGATGATCAGAGTTCTCTGGCCTTTTTTTTGGGCATTTGGGAGCAGCAGAAGATGCTGTCATACTCTGCAAACACCTCTTGATGAGAGCTCTTAACTGGGGTTGGGTAGGAGCTGCCTGGCTGGGGGAAAGCTTGATGGGGGAACCTCAACTGCTCTTAACTTGAGTGAACACAGACTAGAGAAGGAACAAATGTTCAGATCTGTGTGGTTTTGTTCTGAATTTTCAAATCTCTATCCCCATATCTCCATTGCGTGTAGAAACAGCAAAATAAAGTGAAGGTAGTGGCCAGTACTGGTGGGATGGTAACAGTGGACCCATCATGATGGAAAGTGCTCCGCTGAGCTCGTGGTAATCACTCCCACTTGTAGGACGTCTGAATTTTGTCCCACGGTCAGTTTTGTGGCATTTTGTAAAATGATATTGTCTGGGGTTTTTTAAGACTTTCTTGGCTGCATCCAGCTGTAAGTCTTCTGTGGAACCATCAGTGGCTTTTTGGTTTTGTGTGTCTCCTCTTGCAGAAAGGCATGAAATGAGTGATTTTGTGCAGTTGTGCACACTTATGGCTATGTCTGTTGGAGATCAGCTTACTGCAGATTTCAAAATCTGCCTTAGACTGTCAAAATATTATACAGTCATAACAATAATATCAACAGGAGTGGCTTTAAATGAGTGGGAATTATTACTCCCATTTCTATTTTCTGTAAAAAAGCTTGTAATTCCTCTCTCCATAGCATGTGAAGAAACTGAGTCACATGGCTGACAGTCTGTGCCCGCAGAGGCTTCAGGGCACGAGACAGCAAATGTTTCCTGTTCTTTCAACAATAATACACCATTGGAGAAACTTTAAAAACAGCTTCTTTCTTGTAGAAACCTCTGTTTAAAGACAATGGCCAAAGTTTTTCAAAGCATCTGTGCATCAAAGAGACCAGGTCCCATTTGGAATTAAATTATTGAGATAAATACTGGAAGAGAAATACAGATTACGCGTTACATCAAATTTCAGACCCAAACGTAGTCATCCAATTCAGTTTCTGAGTCATTTTGGTTTGTGTGATGATTTTACTCTCTCATCTGAAACTTCACAAATGTTCTGTATTTCTCTTCCTTTATTTGTTCATCATTAAGAACAAGTTGATGAAAACAGCATCTTGACTGCTCGTTGTTCATCTGTTCCAGCTTCTTATTTCCCCTCTGTAATCCTACTGAAAGCTGTTAAAAACTTTGAAGAATAATCATAATCCAAATAAACTCCAGGGGGTTGCTTGAGATTTATCCTGACTCCAGAAAAGCTAAATTAGACCTTAAGTGAAGGTAACTTACAACAAACTGCTAAGAAACAGATGCCATCTGCCTGAGAAGCTTTAGAAGGTTAAACTGCAGTCAGCAAGCAACGAGCTGTCTCCTCTGCAGATTGAAATTGCTGTGTCTCCATTGATTTTATGGTCCTTTCTTAACAGCGCAAAATTGATCTAAAACATTTCTTGCCAGGAATCCTTTCTTGATCAGGGCTTCTACTCCATTGTAATTTATCAAAAGACAATGAGATTAAGAGATGCTTCTGAACAGGACCTGTTATTTCACTTGCCCACATCATCATTTTGGGTGTAATTTGTTGGTATGAGGGCTGCTGCCCGTTTCCTTCAGTGACTCCATCGTGTCCAGCGTATCTGGGATTGCTTCTAATGGCTCCCTCTTTACTCCTCTCTCCAGATCGTCCACGATAACTACATACTCTACGTGTTTGCACCCAATCGTGAGAGCCGGCAGAGATGGGTCTTTACGCTGAAGGAAGGTAATCAAATCCCTTTGTCCACCTAATTGTAGAAGTTACTTACCCAAGACCAGTTTTGTCACAAGCTGTAATGCAGAGAAAATGTGCACGAGGAGTCGATGTCTTACAGCTAAGCATGCGAAGTGGTAATGGGTAATGAGGTTATAAAATCAAATTGCTTGTAAATTTGGTGGGTGTGTTTTCAGCAGCAGTGGAAAATTTGGACATGGAATGCTTTGCTTGCCTCTTTCTAGGATAAACTCTTGATATGCTGTTGTAATTTAAGGTTTCTTATTCAGGAAGAGATGAGGATTTGTCTATGGTGAGGTTGGTTTAGAAATTAATCTTTTCTGTGTAGAAGATTTTTCAGCTCTTATTAATAGATTTTTTTTTCGTTTACATAACCTTCTTAGATAATCATGATTATTAAGAAACATTTTTGCGGGTTGCTTTCATTTCCTGTTCACCTCCTGAATTGTGCTGTGGTTCGCTGCAATGATTCTGAAGTGAAGGCACAGTAACTAACCGCGGCAGGCTGAAAGGAAGCATAATATTTGACATCAGGAAGGTGTTACTTAGTTACATAGAAGTTGCACCAGGCTTCTATCATAGCTTTTTCCTGCTTTATAACACAAGCCGCCGTATTTTTCACTCTGAAAACATTGCTCCTGACTGAGATATTATTGGGTTCATGCGCTTACTTTTGCAACCAGTTATTCCCGTTCCAGAGTGCACGTGCTCCAAGCTGCTACTTCATCACTTCTTCTTGTTCAACATTTTGAGACTCTCTCCTTACTTTGACAATTTGAATGGTCTCTTGAAACAGGCCAGCAGAAATTTTTTTTCTTTTTAGGAAAATTATTATTAGAGAGCTTCAAAAAGAAGGACCTTTAATCACCCCTGCAGAGATTCAAGGCTGGTATTTACATGTGTAAAAAATGTTCAGTGCTGGTGAATACCAGCTTGTACAACTCCTTCTGAACACCAAGCCAAAGCAGCAAGGGTCCGTGTCCTACATACGCTGTAGAGCTGTAGTCTTCCATGGGAATCATCAGTATATGGCCTGCCAGGTTTTATTTCTTTTTAGGAGACCTTCCTTCTGTGGTTTTGGTGTTTCTCAGCTTAAAGAGAGAGTCACTTTGGTAGGATTCTCTTCTCCCACAGTAGAGGGGTATGGGCTCCATCACCAGCAGGAAGGCTGTACCTCTACATCGATGGTGGCATTCCCTCCTTTCAGGAGAAAGGAAAACATTAACGGAGGAGGATAATATTCACCAAAGCTTGATTTGACAAAAATATGAAGATTCTTCAAAGTGCAGATTATTTCCATTCAGTTCTAGATATCTTTCAGAGCTGATGTGAATGCAAATATATTCATTTTCCCCCTTCTTTTCTTCCCCTAATATTTTCCAGAAACCAGAAACAACAACAGTTTGGTTTCAAAATGTCACCCAGATTTTTGGATAGATGGCAAGTGGAGATGTTGTGCTCAGACAGAGAAGATGGCAGCTGGCTGTGTAGAGTATGATCCCACAAAAAATGGTATGGGAAAAATTTGTGAAGACCATCCTGACCTTGAAAATATTTATTCTTAACAAAAGCAAAGGATCAAATCTGTCTTGTACAGAACATCAAAGTATATCATGTTACATTTCCATCAATAGACATGTAGCTGGTTTCTTGGGATATTCTTGCTTATCTTTTACAATATATGGCATTTTTTGTTTTGAATTAACATTCTGCTCTGTGTGATGCTTGGTGCTGTCTTCGGAATGAGGTAGAGAACTAAGAACTTGATCAGCTATGGACAGTCAGAAAGCCATACATGTCTTCAACCCTGTGTGTCCTATTTTGTCCTAACCATATTTCCTCTGTGGTTTCAATGGCCAAGTGTAATCTTTACTTTGTTTCCTGAAAAAGCATATAAGCCATCATTCTTCACCCAAGGTGCTTTTACCTTGTATCTGGGTGATTCTTTACATAACCATTTTCAAACCCATACTGTGTGGCTGAGATTTCCTATTCACAGGTTTTGTATCACCTTTATCAATTCATTACCTTGATGGTTTCTCCCCTGGTTTTGTCCAGATCTACTTCAAGTTATCTTTCTTGATTTCATTTCAGCCTCAAAGAAGCCCCTTCCTCCCACTCCTGAAGATAACTGGGTAAGTGCAGAGGCACGTCACGTTGTCCTTAGTGTTCTGTGTGTTTAATTAGCAGCGGTGAATATATCCTCGTCAGGGTTCACCACAGTGCAGTGATCTAGAATATCACCTGTGGTAACATTCCCTGGGCTTTTCTCTTACCTTTTCCATACTTTTTCATAAGCTGTAAATCAGCAGCATCCCGCTAGTGTTAAGTTTAGTCCTGCAAAGGCAGCTTGGTTTCACAAATGGCTTTCCAGTGGTGAGTGAAGCTTCAACTGTATTTTTTTCCAATCTATAGAAAGGGAAACTGGGGAAATAGGAGGGATATGAGAAAAGCTGCTGTGAAGAGGAACAGAGAAGTGATTTTCCAAACCCAGTTGTGCATGGGACAAAATGTCATTGGCTTATGTAATAAGAAGGGAGAAGCAGGGTGGCTGTTAGGGCTGGACGCCCTACTGGTGGGCAGCAAGGCATTGGGAAAGACCCTCTAGGGAGGCCACAGAGATTTTATCACTGGAGGCTTTAAGAAAAGTTTACAAAACACCTGTGAAGAATAGGTCGGTCAGAAGTAATCCTGCCCTAAGAAGGAGTAGATAACTATTATCTATGCAAGTGAAATTTTTACATGAAAGTCATTGTTTGAAAATGCTAAAAACTCCCATGTTGCCACCATGGCCCACTAGACACCCCAGGGTGCTTTCCTAGCTTTTGTGGCTTTTGAACCCAGAGGAAACCAGTGTTGCCAGGGAAGTAATCCTTTTAACGAGCATGCCATTGATTTTTATGAATATGAATATGATGAGCCTTTTGCCTAATTTGTGCAGAAACTGTTGCTAGACCCAAAGGAAGCTGTAGTCATGGCCATATATGACTATGAAGCCCAGAATCCACGGGAGCTGACGTTACGATATAATGAGGAATATTATGTGATTGACAGCTCCGAGGAACATTGGTGGCTGATTCAAGATAAGAATGGGTAAGTCCCTTTTCAACAGCCAATTTACAAATCTTTTCTAAATGCAGTTTGTTCTTCCACTAACATATATGCTGGCTTCTAGTATAACGTTTGTGAAGCATCCTCTGATATACATGAAAAAAAATGATGGAAGGTTATTTACAGTAACTTTCTTCCCTTTAATGTTGCTTATGTTGAAACTGAAGAAAAGGATCTGAAAATTAATTTTAAAAAAATAAACAGTCCTTAGGTCAGGCTGATATTCGCTGTCATACACGTAGGGAAAAAGAATTGTGAAAATTGTAAAACTCTCCAAGTTTGGAGGTATAATCAGTGGTTTCCTTTTCCAGTAACCCTACTAAATACATAACGACCAGCATTTCTGTCATGCAAAGAGCAGGCAAATCTTTCAGGGCTGACTCCCACAGATGCAGAGAAAATCCTGCCTGTCTAGCACACTCACTCCGTGTCGCATTTTAACAGGCATGAAGGCTACGTGCCAAGTAGCTACCTGGTGGAAAAATCACCCGAGAATCTGCAAATATATGAGTAAGTTGTGCCTATGTTTTTCTTGTTCCTCTAACTGCCCTGGATTTGTTTTAGAAGCTACAAGCCCCCAACGTCCCTACCCCACATAATGTGTCACTGCTAAAGCTGGGGATACTCAATTCAGAAGCTTTTCAGCAGAAACTTTACTAGCCTAGAAACGCTGACTGACTCTTTTGATGTTTTCAGATGGTACAATAAGAACATCAGCAGAAGCAAAGCAGAAACACTCCTCAAGGATGAGGTAAAACATGCTATGTGTGAGGTGGATGGGCAATAATAGTTAATTAATGATAAATGAGGAGAAGCCTGTGGGGTCTGCTTTGTGTGAGAGACAGCTGAGCCCTGGGTTCCTGCTGTGTTGCTGTCCTTGGCTGTTCTTAATGTGCGATGCAAGATGAAGGACCACTAGCAATCTCGCCCCTTACCTCCATAGTAGCTGAGCGTCGGCTGCGCCATCCTTCTTTGGTCAAACACACCCAGTAACTGGGGCTGACAGAAAACACCGTTTCACAACACTCTGTTGACTGAAAACTGTGATTTTAGCTCATCTTTTCTGTCTCTGCAGAATGCCTGTGGATGCCAGTAGTTCTCTGAAAATCTAACCAATCTTATGCTGAAATTTTTTGGGTGAAAGCCAAAAGCATGGGTTTGGGGTTTTATTTTAGTTTTGTGTGTGTGTGTGTGTGCATGTGAGCATGCATCTCTTTCAGCTGAGCCAGAGCTTTCCAGTGAAGACTGTAGTGAAAATAGAAAGAATCAACTTCTTGGTCAAATGTTCCACACAAACACAACCTTAGTTTTTAAATCGTCTCTAACACTGACAGGAGACACAAATAAAGTATTGTTTCTTGGAATTATAGCATTTTATGGAAATAAAAACATTTTTGTGCAGTTTTAAAAACTCTTTTAGTTCCTATGAACTCCTAAGGGAGGTGTCCACGCATGGCTTAACGACCTTATTTTCCCTTTTGGTTCTACCAGCACAACTGTTCTATGGCAACTACGCCCGTGCTCCTGCAGAGACTTCTGGTTCGAAACCTTGCAGTCCCCACAGCTCCCCCCAAAAATGTGGCCAAGCTTGTGAGTGATCTTAGTCCAGGCTTGCTGTCAAGTGAGACAGGATGGCAAGAACAGAGTTAAAAGTATCTGAGGCAGGTTGCTGTCTCCAATACTTGCCTACTTGTGCAAGCAACCCCACGCTGCCAGAGAGATGAGTCCTAAAGCCCTCACCATGCACAATACAGATGCTTCCACAGCAGCATCTGGAGACCCTTTTCAGAGTTTTTGATATTGTGTAGATAAGGTAGATGTGTTGTCATGCATTGAAGAGAGAGCCCTGGAAAGTTTATAGGTCACTGGCCTGACCCCGCCTGGGCAGAGCTGCACGCTGAAAGTCAGGAGGATCATGGCCACGATACATTTTAACATTCAGAAGAGCAGAAAACAATTACAGTGAAAAATTAAAAGGGAAAATTGTTTGGAGGAACTGCTTTCCTACACATCTATGTTTAGATACGAGACAACAGGGGTACCTGTGAAAGGGCAGGATCTTGTCCAAGCTTTTCCCATCTGTGGTCCATTGGTAAATTATCTTTCATACACTCCCATTGGGATTCTCTGGTGTGGAATAAATTGTACTCTCGATCCATAGCTGCTTTCTCACTGGAGGGCACTCAAAGAGGTTTGCCTTTCCACCCACTGCACATTTCATTGAACTTGTGTGAAACTAGTATCACCAGTGTTCTGTCAGACAGGGTTGAAAGCAATAATGAGCGCTGACTTTCTAGCGCAGAGGCTAGGAGGGACAGAGGCAGGCGTTCATGTACCCACATCCACACACACTGAGCACGAGCACATAAATCTCATTTCCACAGGAAACAGCTAAAAATACCCAAGAGAGACCAGCTGGGTGTACCTGCAGCCCTGGCAGCCCTCAGAGCTGTGCACGGAACAGACCAAGTTGTCAATTGGCTGATTGCTCTGGGTTTTTTCCTTTGTGTTTAGCACATCCTCATGACTGAGCATTAGACAGGGCTGAAATGAGCAGAGCTTTGCCCCCAGCCTGCTGCTTTTTTTCCATTATGTCTCTAACCAGTTTTCTCTCCTTTGCTCCTGTTACAGGGTAGGGAAGGTGCCTTCATGGTGAGAGATTCAAGGCAGCCTGGCATGTACACGGTCTCTGTTTTCACCAAAGCATTAAGGTACAGCTGAGCTCAGTAGCTTTTTGTATCAATTACATCAATGAAATGGCTTCTATGAGAGTGTAATCTCTGTACTTGTTTTGGCATTATAAAGAGAGAGCAGAAAGCTCATGAAAATGATAGAGGAAAACACTTCCAAAAAAGGCAGGTTAGCTGCCACTTGCAAAGTGTATGAAAGGCTCTACTTCTCCCTGCATCTGAATAAATGCCTATAAATAGTGCCTTAGACATCACTGGGGTTGTAATTTTGATTAAATTGTCCCCCCAGCTGAAACGTCAGTAGGATCAACATGGACTATATGCTGGACTCATTAAAGGTGGGTAATACAAGACGAGTGAAAGGGTTTCAATGGTGTGACAGAAAGTTTTGTTTCAGAAAGAAGAGGCAGAGAAATTTAGAACTCAACCTGCTCTTATCAGGAAACCTCAGCCTTTCTAGAGATTAGACCATCTATGAGTGAGAGGGAGAACGTACAAGTACACAGCTTTTGTTAGCAACTGCAGCTGACTCCTTGCTCCTCTCCCACTCGTTCTGCGTAGGGAAGGTTCTCCCCTTTTCTCACTTGCTCCTCTTCTGTATATACCCCAAATTCCTGTCTTTTTGCTGTAACCAAGGTTTCCTCAAAGAAAATCTTCTCTTTTTCAGCACGGATAACAATCCTGTTATAAAGCATTATCACATCAATGAGACAACTGGCTTTCCTAAGCGATATTACTTGGCAGAAAAGCATGTGTTTGACTGTATCCCTGAACTCATCAACTATCACCAGCACAATGCCGGGGGTGAGTGAAGAATGATGCTGTCCAGGGAAGTTGCTGTGTTACCATGCAGCCGGGTGACTATTGGAATGAAGGAAGGCTCTCAAGTCCTCTCTCCTTACAGTGAAATGTTAAATGGCATCACCTTCTCTTCCACTTATCCTGGCACTTGGATGGCAAAAAAGTGACCATTTCAGGCCAGCTTCCAGCATTACATCTTCATTCTGGTCATCCTTCTAAGGCTGACTATGGCCAACACAGATGATGTAATGCTATACTATTGAGAGCTCATTCATTTCTGGGAGCCCTTGGGGGTGTGTCACCACTGCCAGATCAAGGTACCTGCTTGAGTTATGCTACAGGGCCTTCTTGCCCAGGAGGTGATATATCCTTGGGCCTTGATGTGACACAGAGTTAGGGACATGGTCAGGATCCATAGCTAGACATGGGTGTCACCAGAGACTCCAATCCCTACAGTCCAGGAGTAGCAAGGGAAACCCTGGCTTTCATAAATGCCCTACAGATATAAGGTATATTTTGGAATTTCATCAGACTTAATAGACACTCACAGCTCATGTTTGCTGACTGAGTGAAAACAGGAAATGAGCTGAAACTACAGAATTGGTTTCCTTCTAGCAGGCGGGAAATTGCAGTCTGAATAGAGGTTCAGCTGCCCTCAAGTGGAACTGAGAACTTAGTACAATAAATCTGCTTCCAGTATGCAGACTGTCTTCTAGGGTAGTGACATTCACACTTCTCATAACTGTGACAATAACTAGAACCCATGTTTTCCTTTGTTATTCAGGTCTTGTCACTCGTTTGCGGTATGCAGTCTCTTCTTGGAGAAAAACAGCCCCAATCACTGCAGGGCTGAGCTACGGTATGGGCCCATCATGGCTATAGGGGAATCACACTCCTCGCTGGTTCACTGGGTGATCCCAAATATCCCCATGGATATTGATGAATATTTGTGCACCTATCACTGCAATAAATAACTTTCTTCAGATCTTTACACTGCACTATTCACTAGATCATCATCTTTGTCATTACTGTTGGTAACTGAATTAACTGATTGTGCGGTGCCTCGAGGAAGGTGATGAGATCCCCAGGGTCTCATGCTGAACAAAGGTGATGGGAGTAAGAGCATAGCATAACTTGATGAAAGCTGTGTCCCTCCTGAAAGGTGCTTCCATTTGTGTGCAGCTGTCTACAGAATTTTGCTGGTATCATCTTTATTGTAATTCTTGGAGACATCAAAGAAACTCAGAACCATGTTGTACTCAGTAGTGCATATATGCATGATAAAAACAATCCACCCTGAAAAACTTCATAGACAAGACAAATAGGGAAAAAAAAAAAAGAAAGGGGATGTTGTTGTTGCTACTCAAAGGTCAGACAGACGAATTGAAAGAGAGCCAGAAAGTCTCACTCTGACTCCTATCTCAATGTTTAACCCACAAAAGCTTTTTTTTTTTGACATTTTACTGCTAGATCCTCACACTTTGTCTGTTACAATCAACAGGAAAATTGGTCATTAACCCCTCTGAGCTCACCCGTATACAGGAAATCGGCAGTGGTCAGTTTGGGGTGGTCTACCTTGGCTACTTGCTAGAGAAGACAAAAGTAGCCATAAAGACCATTCGTGAAGGAGCAATGTCTGAAGAGGATTTCGTTGAGGAAGCTAAAGTCTTGATGTAAGTAGTAGGTTCACCAAGAAAATCAGACCCTGTAGGATTCATAGGACTGAACCAAAGTGTTGTAATAATGTTCAGGAATATAAATGGGGAATTTAATCTTGGATTGTCTACTATGTATCTCAGTAGTAGATAGAGAGATGGGTGGACTCTGGTGGTTACAAAAGAAGGCAGTTCAGAGTGTATGTGAATTACTGTGCTTCTGAGTCTATCAACCTCCAGAATGATCTTCCAGTTCTCTGCTGTTCTGGAAGGCAGGGTTAACTGATGCTGTGCTTTGGAAATCAGAGTGAGTTCTGTCAAAAATATTTAGATGGAGAAAGCTCTTAAAGTTTGAGGGAAATTTTACTGAAAAACCTTACTGAAAAATCTTTTTGCTGTGCACAACTGAAAAGATTTCTCTTTGCTTTTATTGACTTAATATTTTAAAAATTTTTCTCCCTTCAAGATAGAAGTGGACTTCATTTTTGTTTGACTGGATGATTTTTCATACAGAAAAGTCTTCTGGTGACCATTACCATTAAAATGGGATGATGCTTAGTGCAACTTGACGTTAGACTTGGTCAACACATTAACTTCTTTCTGCTTTCACAGTTTGCCTTTGCAGAGAGAGGGGTGCAGTAGGGTGACGTAGACAGCCATGAATAGTGCATTTGCTGTAAGGGTAGTAGGCACTGAACCTATTTCAGCCTCTTTTCCACCTTTCCTCCCTATCTCATAGGAAGCTGTCTCACCCCAAGTTAGTCCAGCTTTATGGCGTGTGCTTTGAGAACACTCCCATATGCCTGGTGTTTGAGTTCATGGAGAACGGCTGCTTGTCTGACTACCTCAGGAGCCAGCGTGGCAGTTTTTCACAGGAGACCCTGCTGGGGATGTGCCAAGATGTGTGCGAAGGAATGGCTTATCTAGAACAAAACTCTGTCATCCACAGAGACCTGGTATGCTGGTCCCAGATAGCATTTTCCTCTGCTCCAGCTGGTCTTTTCCCTGTACTTTCTCCCTTTCTTAACGTTAGCTTTCACACTCTTCCTGCCTATCTGTTGACAGGGAGTCCAGTATCTCCCCTTATTGCAGAAGCAGCATCAATATCTTAGTGGAAAAAAAGCATCCCCTGGAGCACTGATTAATCTATTTATCTTAATTACGTTTGGGAGAGATGATTCAAGGACATAAAGTTTGTCTCTTTTTTTGAGTGGACTCTTTTGCTCCCCAAGAGCCCCAGCTCCCACAGTTCCCAGGGACTGATGACTCTTCATGCTTAAAATCATTGAAGATGCCAAAAAGACCTGTTCTAACATATGCATAAATGTGCATTACTGATAAAATTTTAAATAGGTGGTGTTCAATCAATCTGCATGATGCAGTTTTGTTAGGGGAGGAAGGATTGTGGGTAGCTGTGGATATTTTAGGGTCTTTCTCTGCCCTTTCTGGGCAACAAGGGCCTGCAAGTCAGACTGATGGTGGAACAGCTTTCTTGGCAACAGGAACATGCTAGCCTTAAAAGGTACAGAAAGCATGAGAACTTCAAGTTATTGCCCTCTTTGTATGGTACGATGTCCCTTTGATTCTCCTTTTTCGAGCACTGTCTGCTCTGCAACTGAGTGGCTGTGATAGTCTTTCAGCTCTGACCTTCTGCCTTTGCACCTCCTTTTCTTGCAGGCTGCTAGGAACTGCCTGGTGGGGGAATCCCACGTGGTCAAGGTGTCCGACTTTGGGATGTCGAGGTAATGCTGCCAAGGCCGTGCACTCTCCCTGTGGAGCTGTCACGGGATGGGGGATGTTACTCAGCACACTCCCTTCTTTTCTTTTGCCAGGATTGTCCTTGACGACCAATATACCAGCTCCACGGGTACCAAGTTTCCAGTCAAGTGGTCTGCTCCGGAGGTTTTCTCCTACAGCAACTATAGCACCAAATCTGATGTTTGGTCATTTGGTAAGAACCTCTTGTCAGAATGGAAAACATTCAACAAACGCCAGCTCAGAAAACCTAGGAGCTCAGTCCTCAAGTACACTCTCCTATAAAATTAGATCCTCTGGGCTTCAAGGGTGTTTTGCCTGAATAATGACTTAGGAAATGAAACCTAAATCATTTAAGTGAAAGAAAGGAAAGAATAGTAAACTACCTAGATACTTTGGAACACTGTAAATACTGACAGTTTAATGTATCATACCTGTGCAATGCTATATAATCCCAAATAACGAACTCTATTTCATGCTGAATACAGCAGGAGTGTCGTCCAAGAAAAGGTTGGAGGTCTCAGACAAGATTATATAAGGAAAGGAAAGACATTTAGGCACTCTGTCCGTCTGCATGCCGGTCCCAGGCTCTGACGCTTCACTCAAACCCTCTGCCTTTCTAAGTTTGCTCTGCTGACTCCATTTGCTTTATGCCAATCTGAAAATATTATTTCACTGCTCGCATTTTCTCACCTCATTTCCTGCCTCCCAATGCATTGTTTTATGATTTGCATCTGTTCTTTGGTCTCCCTTCTGGACACTCACAGATAAGAAAACCATTGTATATTTTTTTTTTTCCCCAAAGTCATCGGCACTGGAGATAACAAAGGCGCTCCCCTGATGTGCCTGTTGATCTGGCACACTAATGTATCTGGCCCATCTCCAGCTAGCATGCAAATCGCAGTACCGCAGAATGAATCGGTGCAGTGTGCTGTGCCCAGCACACAGTCAATGGGGTGCCACTCAGCTCCGAGCCTAGCAGTAAATAATGCAGGATTATAACCTTTGCTACTCCGCGCTTGTGAATTCTGTGCTTCCCACTGCCTTTGCTGTCTTCTGCTGTGGTTGAACCCATTCCTGTGGTGGGTTATGAGCAGTGCAGTGGGAGCTGGGTGCTCAGACCCAGGCAGTGCTTTCAAGAACCCAACCCAGTGGTGCTTCAGAAAGCACCATTCCTCTTTCCCTGTCCCCTGGC